GTTATTGTATTCTCTTGCAAATATATGACATTAGGATGGTCCTGTTTTTAAGGCAAAGTAAAAGGGACGATGTTGCCAACAAAAATATAAATTTTGTTGCTTTAATTTCTTAAAATAAACTTAATTTGTTTGAAAAAAATTCAAAGAATTGTTCGATTTCGATTATAGCGTCTCTCACAAATCTTTCATATGACAGAAAGTTTCAACTTACGAATGAGTTAAAAGATCTCTGGGAAAGCTTTTTAGCTGATAATATCCGTAACTTTGATTTTTAGGACCTCCCTAATATACATTTGTATTAATATACACTTCTCACTTTTACACTTTCAATATGTATGAGTATAATTTTTAATATCCTGTTGATATTTACTCTATTATCTAAAATAACAGAGCTGTCAATAAATTTATTCTAAAATTAGTAAATAATTTTAAGATTTTTCTAAAAAAGTGATTTAATAAAGTTTAGCAAAAACATTCTTGGAAAGTTTGGATGTAACATCAAAAACATTTATTTTTGCTTTATTTATAATTATTAAAGAATTTACTATTTTAAGTTCTGCTTTGGAACAGGGACTTATGTATGTATTAATCACATGTAAGAGGATATGGCAAAAATACCAACATACATATTTATATCTCCAGCAACATGTAGGAAGTGTTTTGCAACAAATTTCATTTTAGTACTGTTTAAGAGCTCTCTTGCAAAGGATCTTTTTAAAACTTAAGTTTAACATTTTAAAACCAGAAAAAATTAACAATTAAAAAAATGTTTTCACAAATTGTTTCGGATAAAATTGATAGATTTCGCAAAAGTTTTATTTCAAATCAAGTGTTTGAGGCCTTGCAGCCGTTATTTTTTCTCACCTTTCTATACGGTTTAACGCCATTTCGTGTTATCAAAAATAAAGATGGCGAAAGTAATGTGCAAATGTCATTTTTCGGTTTTGTTAATATTGCCGTTTATATATTGTTGTATGGCTGCTGTTATATAATCTCACTGCTGCAAGACGAAACTATGGTGGGATATTTTTTTCGCACGAAAATTTCCAATGTCGGTGATACAATGCAGATTTGTAATGGTCTTATAACCGGTGCCGTTATATACATTTCGGCCGTGACTCAAAGACGAAAATTACTAAGGGTCTGTCGTATACTCTATTGTTTGGATACGAATTTCGCTAATATTGGCATAAAAGTGAAATATTCGCGTATTTATCGTTATTCTATAGTGATGATTATATTTCAAACTGTTGTGATTGGTGTGTATTTTGCCGGTGTTTTTCGTTTGCTGAAATCGATGAAAGTTACACCATCGTTTAGTGTTTGTGTTACATTCTTTTTGCAACATTCTGTCTTATCGATTGCCATATGTTTGTTTTGTTTTATGGCACGCAGCTTTGAACGACGTTTGGTAATATTGAATAAGGTGAGTGAAAAGGTGGTTAAGGCCTATTTGAGCATACAAAAACAATATAAAAGTATTTATGTAATATTTATGAATTGCGTGTTAATTTGTTTGATGTTTAAATCCCTATTGGGTAATAATATTAAGAAAAATAGTGTTCCCAAAAATTTCGAGGTAATAAATCTCTATATGACCTCCAAAGGAATAGCAGAATAATTATTTAATAGAACATATTCAAATTTTAAGAATAAATAAAATAAATGTTCTACTTATAAATGTAATTGTTTGGTTATCATAAATAGGGCAACCCATGTACGATCCATCCATGATTGAAAAAATTTAATTGGAAAAGCTTGAACTTGTTTAGTGAGCAACTTCGTTAAGAAACGTTTAAAACGATAGATTCTTGTCGGGGGGGTCTAATATTGAATGTAATTCTTTAGAATACACTGAAAAAAAACTTGTATAATCTCTATTACGCTTACGTTACGGTTGAAGCTGAAGAGCTGATATTTGGACAGAAATGAGGTTCGAACAGGAAATTTGATTTTATTCAAACTTATAGCATCATTTTTTTTGAGAAATTTTTTGATTTAGTAACACTAATGGGATGTTACTTGGAAATCCCTTACAAAGAACTATTTTGAGTTTTTTGTAATATTGACCTTATAAACATGAAATTAAGCATAAAGAGCACGTAGTAAATAAAAATCTATAAAAGGGAACTTTTTGGTACTTTTTCGTTCTTCAAAAGGTACTTTTTGCATGTTTCTATAGTATTGAACCTAGAAACATGAAATTAAGCTGTAGAGCTCGGACTATAAAAGGGGACTTTTTGGTACTTGAAACATAAAGTTAAACATTCAGAATTTTAAGTGAATGAAAATCTGTAAGAAAGGATTTTTGGTACTTTTTCGTTCTTCAACTGGTATTTAAACAGTCAAAAAGTTTTATTGGATTCAAATGAAAGGACAGGAAAGAAAGGCGGAAATCCCATTTTGGATACCTTGGCCAGGTTAACAGTTGCTTTTAGACATTATAGGGGAAAAATATATCTTTCAGCCTTTATATAGATTAAAGCAAAGGAGGAAATCTTTGCTCATCTCATATATTAAGACCAAAAGAGTGATGAACTATTGGCATTAACACAGCATACTGATTGATTTAAAATTTATAAAACGGGAGTTTCTCGTACTTTTTCGTCAATCATACATATAGTATCCGGATAGAATGAAATTTATAAGAGTAAACTTTTTACTTTTAACATACATCGTATTAATTGAATAAAAGGGAACTTTCTTCTACTTTTACGTTTTCCATCTTGTATTTTTTTTTACACTATAGTATAGTGCACTACGATAAAGGGAATATAAGATTCGGCTTATCCGAATATAGGACTCTTACATGTTTTTCTTCTCGGTTCCCTTTATATAATATGAGACTATTTTACATACGATGCGTTCATTCCATAAATCTACAAGTCGTTTATCGTGTATTTGAAACATTTTCATATTTCTCATTCATAGTAGGGTAGAAGGGGGACCATACGCCACTTTTTTTTTTTTTGAGGCGGCCTCAAATTAAAACCACAATACATATTCTTAATTTTTTTCTTGGTTCGGATACTTAGATATGTTAGCTTTAGTTTTATTCCTTTCAATCTTTCCTAAGTCATCCTCATGTACATATTTTTTTAACTTTTTCGCACTGACCAAAAACGGCGATACCGCCCCATCCATGGGGTAAATGCGCCAAGGGGATGGGGCAGATTTGTTATTAGTAAAATAAAAGATAAAATTACAAAAATAAAAACTTATTTTGCTGTTTTATACTTTAATTCATTAAACAAAATATAATAAACCAGATATTTATTGTTTATTTCACAAAACTTAACAAAAAAATTAAAACAAATTATTACTGATTTTTTTATATTTTAACCAAATTTTGTTCTACATCAAAAGCATTACATATATTTGGCGCATGTGCCCCACGGGCAGTTCTGGGCTATAGTTTCAATTTTTTTCGGGCTTCAAATTATATTATCGAAAATATTATTATGTCTTATTGTTCACTATTATTGACGTTCTAATACTGACCAATATATTTTTTCTATCACAAAAACTAAAAAAGTTAGCACAAAAAGTTCACACAGTAAAATATTTTCACAGCCCTTTGAAAAACAATTAATCATCTCTGCCTCCCATCATATGTAAAGTTAATGTTTCAAATTTTCAGGAATGATAAATAATCGATAAACGAAAACAAAATTTGATAATGCGATAAAATCGATTACTCAGTTTTCAAGTTATTCGCTATTGGCAGATGTGCCCCTATGGCGTATGATCCCCCTTCTACCCTATAGAGCATCCAAATGTTGGGAGACTGGGGTTTAAGCACTAAGCAGTAGTATGAGTTTAATAAGAGTTAAAGTTATGACACCAGAAGTTTAAACTTTTATTTATTCGGACATAAGCATTCTCGGACCAGCACTTGGGAATCGTTGCTCTAGAGTAACACCAATTGTATTCTTATTCATTAACCCAAATAAATATTTAGTTATATATTTATTTCTTGTTAACTAAAATAATAATGTCAACAATTTAATTAAACTAAATTGAAATATATGTATTATTTTTGGTCTAAATAATATTTATTATTGTTAAATAAACATTATAACTAATATAATTTACTATTAATATACATACTTAACATAACACTGATTCCAAATATCTCACGCTCTTTATCTTGAAAATATAACACTTATTTATGGCAAGACTAGCATAACTCAAAAACGTCGTTTCGAGAAAAAAAGCATTTAAAACATTCTGGCATTTTACAAATACTTAAATAAATTTGAAACAATACGTTTATCATCTGAATTAGAAAAATGTTCGCTAATAAAAAGATATAAGTTGTAGTTCAGATATTAACTATCATAAATCACTCTCACACCGAAAATAGTGGACATTTTTAAAAATCATAAGGCCATATGAAAGATCTTTCAATGATACATATTTGCTGGTATTTAGTTCAAAAATCCCTAATATAGAGTTAAACAAGTCTTGTAATAAATGAGAATAACGGCTTAAACTAATTCATCAGTTTTTATTTATTTAAATTACAATTCTTGTTAATTATACTTTTAATAAGTTCTATTAGCACAATGGCAAACAACAATTAACAATTACATGAGTGGTGGGATAAGCAAAACCTTCATTCATACACGTTTTTCGTTTTTTAACCACAACAACAACATCTCAATTGTAAATATACATATAGACTGGTTGGTTTTTTCCAATTTTCATTACAGACAGAAAAATGTTTGATGGTTTAAATATTCCATCAAGGGTGTTATTAAAACATCAACAACCACGCATTGTGGCAGCAATGAATTGCAACAGGTTTATGACGGTTAATACACAAACAATAAGAAAAGGACAAACGAAACAGGACACAGGACATTAAAGTTAAGAAGCCAACAACAACAACAACAACAAATAACAATTTTGTTTGCTTGTTTCCTACTCGTACTCGTTTCAACATGCAAATTATTTTCTAAAAAAACTTTTCAGTTGTCGCTTTGACTTTCACAAGAATGGACGAAGAAAATTCTGAAATGCCACAATTAGATAATACCGTGCGTAGTCGCATACGAAGATTTTTTTCCGCTAAACGTTTATACGAATGTCTACAACCGTTACTCTTTCTCACCTATTGGCATGGGCTAACGCCTTTCTATATAAAAAGTAACTCCAAAGGTGTCAAGTATTTAAAACATTCCATTTGGGGTTACATCAATGTCGGTGTCCATATAGTGATCTATAGTGTTTGTTACATTTTAACTTTGATGAATGATTGTGAAACGGTGGCGGGATATTTTTTTCGTTCGCGCATTACACATTTCGGTGATTTTCTACAGATTCTAAGTGGTTTTATTGGCGTGACAGTGATTTATCTTACGGCCATAATACCCAAACATTATGTTCAGCGTAGTTTGGAAATTATGCAAACTATGGACGATCAATTGCAAGGTGTCGGCATTAAGATAATGTACAGCAAAGTTTTACGTTTCAGTTATATTTATATTTTGTGTATGGTATCGGCAAATTTGGGTTATACGATTTTTAGTTTCCAATTGTTGAAATCGGCCAATGAGACGCCTTCGGCTTCGTTGCATGTAACCTTTGTGCTGCAACATACAGTGGTGTTGTTTGCCTTGGCCATGTATTCATGTTTTACGAAAATGATTGAAATGCGTTATAATATGATGCACAGGGTGAGTTTAACATTGATTTAAATTTTTATAAAAAAATATGAGGATCCTGGTAAAAAATTTTATATTATGAACCATAATTTAATATTTTTTAAAGTTTTAATCTCGAGCGGAATTTTTATTTAGAAACTTTGATTGAATTAAAACATACGACTCGTAACTTTAATTGAATTGACCAAAGACGGTTATAGGACCAAAATGTGCCGGGGGTTTCAGAACAAGAAATCCAAGCAGTATCGGAATGCGTAATTAGGGTAGAGTAAATATGGCGCCAATACTGGTTAACATATTAACCGACAGCCAGAAGGCAATTTAGGTGATATCAGGTGATAGGGTTGTTGGATTGAATGCTTTAACCGAATAATTTCCCAGAAGTAAGCTTTCATATGAATATCAGGAATATTAATTACCTCCAAGAAACTGAGTTTTTGAACATTGGACGATAATATCCTCATTGATCACTATAACAACAGCGCACCACTGGCCCGATAGTGTCCTAGGAGCATATCTTCGGGTTAGATGTAGTATACATCGTCTTATCAAACTAATCCTTAAACTTGAATGTAAATCAGTCAAGATATATTTAAAAACATATTTTCATAGGTTTTTTTCTAATATTAGGATCAATTATAAAAGGTTTATAGAAAAAATTTACATATATTGTTTGAATATATATATATATATATTTTATAAACCTTTCGTATATTATTATGAATAAACCATTGAAAGAAACTCTTTGGAAAAAATTATTATTTCTTTTCAAATTCCAAGTAATGTAATTTGATACTTTAATTATATTTACCAATTTTTCTAGAACAATTACCAACCCTTTAATTTATTATAAAAATTGTGCGAAGTACATTCAATGTTTAACATTATGAGTATATTTTTCAAACTCCAAAAATTTTCCATTAAGCAGTTACAAGATTTTTGTCCCAAATAATTTTCAGAAAAATAACTCCCAAAAGAGTAAAATTTAATCCCGAAAAAGTCTGTCCGAACAGAACTAAAACAGAACTAGAACAGAACTAAAACAGAACTAAAACAGAACTAGAACAGAACTAGAACAGAACTAGAACAGAACTAGAACAGAACTAGAACAGAACTAGAACAGAACTAGAACAGAACTAGAACAGAACTAGAACAGAACTAGAACAGAACTAGAACAGAACTAGAACAGAACTAGAACAGAACTAGAACAGAACTAGAACAGAACTAGAACAGAACTAGAACAGAACTAGAACAGAACTAGAACTGAACTAGAACAGAACTAGAACAGAACTAGAACAGAACCAGAACAGAACTAGAACAGAACTAGAACATAACTAGAACAGACTAGAACAGAACTAGAACAAAACAGAACTAGAACAGAACTAGAACAAACTAGAACAGAACTGAACAGAACTAGAACATAACTAGTAACAGAACTAGAACAGAACTAGAACAGAACTAGAACAGAACTAGAACAGAACTAGAACAGAACTAGAACAGAACTAGAACAGAACTAGAACAGAACTAGAACAGAACTAGAACAGAACTAGACGAACGAGAACAGAACTAGAACAGAACTAGAACAGAACTAGAACAGAACTAGAACGAGAACTAGAACAGAAACTAGAACAGAACTAGAACCAGAAACTAGAACAGAGAACGAGAACAGAACTAGAACAAACTAGAACAGAACTAGAACAGAACTAGAACAGAACTAGAACATAGACTAGAACAGAACTAGTAACAGAACTAGAACAGAACTAGAAACAGAACTAGAACAGAACTAGAACAGATAGAACAGAACTAGAACAGAACTAGAACAGAACTAGAACAGAACTAGAACAGAACTAGAACAGAACTAGAACAGAAACTAGAACAGAACTATAACAGAACTAGAACAGAACGAGAACAGAACAGAACTAGAACAGAACTAGAACAGAACTAGAACAGAACTAGAACAGAACTAGAACAGAACTAGAACAGAACTAGAACAGAACTAGAACAGAACTAGAACAGAACTAGAACAGAACTAGAACAGAACTAGAACAGAACTAGAACAACTAGAACAGAACTAGAACAGAACTAGAACAACTAGAACAGAACTAGAACAGACTAGAACAGAACTAGAACAGAACTAGAACAGAACTAGAACAGACTAGAACAGAACTAGAACAGAACTAGACAGAACTAGAACAGAACTAGAACAGAACTAAACAACTAAACAGAACTAGAACAGAACTAGAACGAACTGAACAGAACTAGAACTAGAACTAGAACAGAACTAGAACAGAACTAGAACAGAACTAGAACAGAACTAGAACAGAACTAGAACAGAACTAGAACAGAACTAGAACAGAACTAGAACAGAACTAGAACAGAACTAGAACAGAACTAGAACAGAACTAGAACAGAACTAGAACAGAACTAGAACAGAACTAGAACAAAACTAGAACAGAACTAGAACTAGAACACAACTAGAACAGTACTAGAACAGAACTATCCGATTGGATGTCTATTAGGGTTATGACAAGGCAATCACATTAATAATAAAATTCATGTCTTTTTGCGGGTCATTTTGGTAAAAAATCTTTTGCACCAAATATTTGACCGTCTGTTAATTAAAATCAGTTTTTTGGAGGCCCGAAATATCGTTTGAAATAAATTTTAATATAATTTCCAACATAAATATTTTGTTAAAAAAGTAAGTAAGGGTAATTTTAATTTTTTCGGTAATGGTATTACGGTAATGTTTAGATTCGTATTTGTAATTGTATATTAAAAAAATAATGGTATATTTTATTATAAAATATAAATTGAACTGCAAGTAAATTTATTTAATCGGTTTATAAAGATCACAAACTCCCTAAATAAAATACGCAAATGATCAGAGATAACACAAATGCGTTCAGATTAATTGCCTCTATAATGTTAACATTTATGTTTCTATATAATTTAAATCAAAATACTGTAATCACACTAGGACTTATAATTATTTCCATGTTCATAATTACCCTGCCGTTCGGAGTGACTGTTTCAAACTAGTACTTTTCATCAAATTTATTGTTATCCTGGTAAAAGCAATATTACTAAAAAAAAAAAGTTAAAATGTATACCTACTCCGCAACTATCGGGTTCTAGTGATAATTCGTTGAAACACGAACAATTTATTGAAACAAATTATAAATACATATTACTAATGTCTGGCATTTTAATTTGTATTTTGGTTACTTATTATTTATTGTTTAAAAGGTGGTTTATTTTTTATTGTTTACTAAATAAAATTAAATCACAGAGTATCATTTAGTTATGTCAATATTTCTGTTCAAAAACAATTATATTTAATAACTATATGGGTTTTTCTTTAGTGCAAAAAAAGTGCTGTCTAAGACATGTTAACAGACCCTAATAAGTGAAAGTTGTCAGAAAGTCACTTAAGAAATCTTTCAACATTTTATAAAACGAGGGTCCTATAGAGTTTTTGCAATCTAATACAATCACAGAAAATAATCCAGTTATCTTAGCTTAACAATTTCGCGTAAAGTCCACACACAACCCTCCTATTTTAAAAACTCTTTAAAAATGTATATACTGACATTAAACAACTGACAAACTTTTTTAACAAGAATAAAAATAACTTCTACATTCCGCAAAATGGTATAAAAACCTGAAAATTTTAAGTAAAAAATTTAGTACATCACCTCCAGTTCAATTCGTATTAAGAACACATTCAAAAATGAAATCATTTTGTTACGAATTTTTCAAACCCAAAGATTCGTATTCCGCTGAAAGAACTTTACTCGCCATAACTTTTGTAATGGGTCTTACGCCATTACGCGTTCGGGGATCTGAAGGCAAACGCCAAATGTCTATATCATATTTGGGATTTGGCATCACCGTCTTACAGGGAATATTTTTTGTCTATTGTTTTATACATTCATTTCTGGTGGACGAATCTATAGTGGGTTACTTTTTCAAAACGGAAATTTCGAAAATCGGTGATATTTTACAAAAGTTCATTGGTCTCAGCGGTATGCTTATACTATTCGGTGTTAGTTTGAGGAAAAGTCGTGACATGATCTATATGTATCATACGATAGCGGTTATAGATTCGAGATTTTTAAATTTGGGTGTGGAGTTTAATTACCGTTATATTATGAAATTTAGACATTCGAAATTGGTTATGGTAACGATAGTTTGTGTGGGCTATTTGGCCAGCAGTTTGTGGATGTTGTTTCACAATCAAATATGGCCTTCATTTCAAGCGGTAGTGGCATTTTTTGTACCGCATATATTTTTGTTATGTGTAGTGGTTTTAAATGTTTCGTTTGTAATGCGTTTTTGGCAACATTTCGATTTGTTAAATAAGGTAAGTGAACAGAACTAGAACATAACTATAACAGAACTAGAACAGAACTAGAACAGAGCTAGAACAGAACTATAACAGAACTAGAACAGAACTAAAACAGAACTAGAACAGAGCTAGAACAGAGCTAGAACAGAACTATAACAGAACTAGAACAAAACTAGAACAGAACTAGAACAGAACTAGAACAGAACTAGAACAGAACTAGAACAGAACTAGAACAGAACTAGAACAGAACTAGAACAGAGCTAGAACAGAACTATAACAAAACTAGAACAGAACTAAAACAGAACTAGAACAGAGCTAGAACAGAGCTAGAACTAGAACTGAACTACAACTGAACTAGAACTGAACTAGAACTGAACTAGAACTGAACTAGAACTGAACTAGAACTGAACTAGAACTGAACTAGAACTGAACTAGAACTGAACTAAAACTGAACTAAAACTGAACTAAAACTGAACTATTTTTCAAAGTTAAAAATTTTAAACAAAATTGATTTGCAAATAAACTTTTTTCATTATTTTTGTATAGAAACCAATTTTTATTTTTGTTTTGCACAATGAAATTTTTTCACTTTTTATTAAGCATTATTATTAAATAAAAATAATCTAATAATACAGCGAGTAAACGATAACTGATTTGGGTTGAAGACAAAAAACTATTCAAACAAAATATTTCAAAATTAAACATTAAATAATTCTCTCTACTTTCATATGAGTGTCCGTATTTTTACAAAATATTTCACCCACTTTAATTTATTCCATACATGATATTGTAATTATTAATAATTACTTATTTAAAGTGGTTACAAATAAATTTCCCTTAACCTTAAAAATCTACCCCTTTACCACAGTAAAAAACTGAAGAAAAAACAAAAACAAATTGGTCACGTTTTTATGGACTCCACAATAAAAATAGAATTGATTCCTTGGAGTATTGCGGTTATAACATTTAAACATTTGTATATTTTCATTTTCAAACTTTAATTTAATTAATTATTTTGATAATATCATGTCACACATACAAACACTTTTATACTAAGACATAATTATTATAATTATTTACCAACAACAATATTACTCATTGTGTTGTTGGTAAATGAAAATAAAATATTTGAATTTCTAATTGTCTGCATTACTTTCAGACGACTGGTAGTCGGTCCGGTGTGTTTTTATTTTAACATTTAATAAAGAAAAATTTTAGTTTACCTTAATCTTCGTAGACAAGTGATGTGTGTTACCACTATTATACCCTTAAGTATAAGGATATTTTTGCATGATTTACATAAACCGCGAGATGTTTATGCCTGTTATCGTGTCCTATATTTGGCGGCTTTATTAACCGGTATAATACCGTTTCAATTCAGCTCCCAACCTAACAGGCATTTAAAAAATACTGTATTTGGATATCTAAATGTTTTAGCACGCATTGTATTCTACAGTTTTATCTTTGGCTGCAGCATGAGTGGCGATGAGCAATCACTATTGGCTCATTTTTATCACACTGAAGTATCGAGATTTACGGATTCATTGCAAAAATTCAATGGCATGTTTGCCATTCTATTAGTGTTAATATTTGGTCTTGTAGAACGTAATGTTTTGATAAGTTTAATGCAACAATATGAAGTTGTGGAATTACATTTCTCGCGTCTTGGTGTACAATTCCAGCAAAAAAGATGTGCTTGCAGGATAAACTTGACAATATTATTAATGTTTTTGGCCAATTGTTCTTTTATTATTTATGGTCATTTTTTGATTTTTGTTCATAATGACATATATCTTTCGTGGATTGCCATCTTTTCGTTTTACTCACCTCACACTATAATCAGTATTGTGGTGGTGGTTTTCTATACGTCCTTATTTAAAATAACACATTATTTTAAAGCAGTAAATGAGGTAATTTTATTTGAAATAGTAAATGTTATGTGCCAATGTATTTAGTAAATATTTAATGTTTATTTAATATTATTAATGAAATTGCATTATTATAAAAGTTGTTTATTGTATACATATGTTGTTAGTTTCGATGCTGTCATATTTCTGATATTCGTGTTCAGTAACAATTTCGACGTATGAGTGATATTGATTAATTGTTTACTATTAAAATGTCTCAAACGCCATGTATTTTAAAGCATTTTTACGTTGGTTAAGTGGTTTTACAATTGTCGCTGGAATTTTAATTTTATTTCAATTTTAAAATGATTCATTTAAATGTTTTAATGCGATACTAAAAAGTTTTTATTAGAAACCTTACATAGAAAGGTTTTAAATGCAATTTGTTAAAAAAAAACTTGTATATAAAGCTTTTTGGTAAAGTATTTTTTTTAATAAAGCATTTTCATTAAAAAGCGTTTGTTGTAAAAAGCTTTATTACAGCATTATTTATAAAATATAATGTGTTTTAAAATCATTTTATCAAAAAAGCTTTTCATGCCAACAATTTTTACTAAGTTTTTTACTAAGTTAAGTTTTTATAAAAAAAACTTTTCAGAAAAATATTTTGGTAAAAAGCTTTTTTTGTTAAACGGAGTTTTTTGTAAAAAGCATATCGTAAAAAAGCACTTCAAACTAAGTTTTTCACAAAGTAGCTTTTTAAGTTAAGTTTTTTATATAAAACTTTTTAGAAAAATATATTCGAAAAAAGCTCTTTTGTTAAAAAAAAATTTTTGCAAATAAAAACAAAAGATTTTTCATAAAAAATATTTTCCTAATTAAATAATTTTGCTAAATTGTTTTTTAAAAAACTTTATACAAGCTTTTTCCTAATAAAATAATTTCGTTAAAGAGATTTACATATACATAATTTTACTGCAAAAGCTTTTTATACAAAGCTTTTTAGTAAAAAGGTTTTTTATAAAAAGTTTTTCATATTAAGTTGTTAAAAAAAGACTTTTTAAGTTTTTTTTTTATAAAAAAGCTTTTTATAGTGAACTTTTTAGAAAAATATTATAGCAAAAGAAGTTTTGTGTTAAAAAGCATTTCATATAATTTTTTCATATAAAATGTTTCTTGTAAAAAACTATTTTTCTAAACAGCTTTCTTACAAAAACAACATCAAACATTTTATCTAATCTAAGCTAAATTGATTTTTATAGAGCTTTTTTATAAAAGGTTTTTCGTACAAAGCATTTCTAAAAAAATAATTTTGTTCAAAAGGTTTATATGCATAAAATTTACTACAAAATCTTGTTTTAGTAAAAAGTTCTTTAAAAAAAGCCTTTTTATAAAAAAGCTTTTTAGAAAAACAATTTTTTATAAAAAAGCTTTTCAGAAAAACAATTTTCATAAAAAATCAACCAAATATCATGCTTTTTGATTAAATTAATAATTTCTTTAAAAAGCTTTTTATTTATTCACAAACAACATTTTTATTTTATAAAATGTTTATAAAACAAAATTTCCATACAAAATCTAATTTATAAACGGTTTTTAAAATAAAAATTTTCTTTGTGAATAAGGGGGTTAGTATAAAAATCAAGCTATTTCAAAAAAATATTTTCGTAAAAAAAAACTTTTATTTTTAATATAAATATAAAAACACTGTTCATACTTAGTTTAAATACAAAACAATCCAATAAATAAAATCCAAAATAAAATTAGCTTTAGGACTAGAATTATATGGACCCAAAAGAAAAATTCAAACTGAAAACTAAAAGATGTTTTTGTTTTGAAGTTTAAGAGAAGCAAATAAATTATACGCAATAACGCAAAACGTATGAGTAATACTGAACTCTATTAAACATAAAATAATACTCATACGTAACCCATACATTTCAATTAAAATTTCCTGATAGAAATTTATTTATACTACTTTTAGGTTCTCAAAAATCTTTGTCATCAATGGGATACACGCAGCATTAAAACGATAACCCACAAACAACGTTCACTACAATGTCTCGACTCATTTTCCATGTACACCATTGTTTCGAAAAACCCAGCAGAAATTATACAAGAATCTATGGAAATACATCAGCTGATATGTGAAGCAGCCTCTACAGCTAATAAATATTTCACTTATCAATTGTTAACCATCATTTCTATAGCATTTTTAATCATAGTATTCGATGCCTACTATGTTTTGGAAACACTATTGGGAAAATCGAAAAGAGAAAGTAAATTTAAGACAGTGGAATTTGTAACATTCTTTTCGTGTCAAATGATTTTATATTTGATAGCGATCATATCAATTGTGGAGGGCAGTAATAGGGCTATTAAAAAGGTATTTTTTTAATTAATGTTAAAACTCATCATTTCTCATCTTTTTATTTTATTATGGCCTTTAAGAGCGAAAAAACTGGTGGCATTGTACATGCTTTATTGAATAAAGCTAAAACAGCTGATGTTAAGGAAAAACTTCAACAATTTTCTATGCAATTAATGCATTTGAAAATTAATTTTACTGCTGCGGGTTTATTTAACATTGATCGTACTTTATATTTTACGGTAAGTTTTTTTAAATTTATTTTGTATTTTTTGTTATATTTTATTTTATTTCTAAATTTTATTTTATTTCTAGATAAGTGGCGCTTTGACTACATATTTGATTATTTTACTACAATTCACCTCAAACTCTCCGCCGGTAACACAAAATGGGTGCGATCCATCTCTGGCTGTGTCACTAAATCAAACGGAAACTTAAAAAATAGCTTTTAAACACTTTTTTGTAAATGTATTTTTTAATCAAACGCTTATTAGATTGTAAAAAGCCTGCACAAATTTCAAATAGAAACTTTTTAGTGAAATATGATTTTAAAGGTATATATATACATATTTGCTAGAAGAATACAGAGTTTTTCCTTTCCTAAATTGGTAGATTGCCTATATATTTAATATAAAAGCACAAATCATATTACTTGGGCCATAACAGGGTTTGTTATGTCAATACGATTATCCTTGTTATAGACGATATACAAAATGATATTCAAGCACAAAATTATTTTATCAAATTTTAATAGATTTGTTATTCCATTATTTCTATTCAAACCCAGTTTATAAATCTTAAATGTTCCATATTTGAGTTAAAAATTTACCTGTCTAACTATTTGAGAATTGAGACCGTTGATCATGTTTAAATAAATTATTTTCTTAAAACAAATAAATTAATCTGTTTACAAATACTTTGACATATCAAACTAAATATTGTTAACTTTTTTCATATATTATGTTAAACGTTTAAATATTTAATGTGTTTTAATTAAATACACTAATATTTAATTAGCATTAATTAAATGTAAAAAAAAAATATTAAAACCATAAAGATTTTATAAATAAAGAACAAATACTACAATTTAAATAAATCAAAAATGTTATTGAAAAGTTATTTAGAGGTTAAGCATAGTAGTTATTTTAAATATTTAGAAAGCAAACTAATAATAATATGTGACATTTATCTACAGCCGACATCGACAGAGACTTACAACATAACTTATCTCCCTATAGTCTAGTCTATGTTAGTCTATAGTCTAGTTTAGTCTAGTCTATAGTCTAGTCTATAGTCTGTCTATAGTCTAGTCTATAGTCTAGTCTATCGTTTAGTCTATAGTATAGTCTATAGTCTAGTCTATAGTATAGTCTATAGTTTAGTCTATAGTCTAGGTCTATAGTCTAGTCTATAGTCTAGTCTATAGTCTAGTCTATAGTCTAGTCTATAGTCTAGTCTATAGTCTAGTCTATAGTCTAGTCTATAGTCTAGTCTATAGTCTAGTCTATAGTCTAGTCTATAGTCTAGTCTATAGTCTAGTCTATAGTCTAGTCTATAGTCTAGTCTATAGTCTAGTCTATAGTCTAGTCTATAGTCTAGTCTATAGTCTAGTCTATAGTCTAGTCTATAGTCTAGTCTATAGTCTAGTCTATAGTCTAGTCTATAGTCTAGTCTATAGTCTAGTCTATAGTCTAGTCTATAGTCTAGTCTATAGTCTAGTCTATAGTCTAGTCTATAGTCTAGTCTATAGTCTAGTCTATAGTCTAGTCTATAGTCTAGTCTCTATCTAGTCTATAGTCTAGTCTATAGTCTAGTCTATAGTCTAGTCTATAGTCTAGTCATAGTCTAGTCTATAGTCTAGTCTATAGTCTAGTCTATAGTCTAGTCTATAGTCTAGTCTATAGTATTCCTGATAGTATAGTCTATAGTATAGTCTATAGTCTAGTCTATAGTCTAGTCTATAGTCTAGTCTATAGTCTTAGTCTATAGTCTAGTCTATAGTCTAGTCTATAGTCTAGTCTATAGTCTAGTCTATAGTCTAGTCTATAGTCTAGTCTATAGGTCTAGTTATAGTTAGTCTATAGTCTAGTCTATAGTCTAGTCTATAGTCTAGTCTATAGTCTAGTCTATAGTCTAGTCTATAGTCTAGTCTATGTCTAGTCTATAGTCTAGTCTATAGTTCTAGTCTATTCTAGTCTTAGTCTATAGTCTATAGTCGATAGTCTATAGTCTAGTCTATAAGTCTAGTCTAGTCTATAGTCTAGTCTATAGTCTAGTATAGTCTAGTCTATAGTCTAGTCTATGTCTATAGTCTATAGTCTAGTCTATAGTCTAGTCTATAGTCTAGTCTATAGTCTAGTCTATAGTCTAGTCTATAGTCTATAGTCTAGTCTATAGTCTAGTCTATAGTCTAGTCTATAGTCTAGTCTATAGTCTAGTCTATAGTCTAGTCTATAGTCTAGTCTATAGTCTAGGTCTATAGTCTAGTCTATAGTCTAGTCTATAGTCTAGTCTATAGTCTAGTCCTATAGTCTAGTCTATAGTCTAGTCTATAGTCTAGTCTATAGTCTAGTCTATAGTCTAGTCTATAGTCTAGTCTATAGTCTAGTCTATAGTCTAGTCTATAGTCTAGTCTATAGTCTAGTCTATAGTCTAGTCTATAGTCTAGTCTATAGTCTAGTCTATAGTCTAGTCTATAGTCTAGTCTATAGGTCTAGTCTATAGTCTAGTCTATAGTCTAGTCTATAGTCTAGTCTATAGTCTAGTCTATAGTCTAGTCTATAGTCTAGTCTATAGTCTAGTCTATAGTCTAGTCATAGTCTAGTCTATAGTCTAGTCTATAGTCTAGTCTATAGTCTAGTCTATTGTCTAGTCTATAGTCTAGTCTATAGTCTAGTCTATTGTCTAGTCTATAGTCTAGTCTATAGTCTAGTCTATAGTCTAGTCTATAGTCTAGTCTATTGTCTAGTCTATAGTCTAGTCTATTGTCGTCTATAGTCTAGTCTATAGTCTAGTCTATAGTCTAGTCTATAGTCTAGTCTATAGTCTAGTCTATAGTCTAGTCTATAGTCTAGTCTATAGTCTAGTCTATAGTCTAGTCTATAGTCTAGTCTATAGTCTAGTCTATAGTCTAGTCTATAGTCTAGTCTATAGTCTAGTCTATAGTCTAGTCTATAGTCTAGTCTAGTCTAGTCTATAGTCTAGTCTATAGTCTAGTCTATAGTCTAGTCTATAGTCTAGTCTATAGTCTAGTCTATAGTCTAGTCTATAGTCTAGTCTATAGTCTAGTCTATAGTCTAGTCTATAGTCTAGTCTATAGTCTAGTCTATAGTCTAGTCTATAGTCTAGTCTATAGTCTAGTCTATAGTCTAGTCTATAGTCTAGTCTATAGTCTAGTCTATAGTCTAGTCTATAGTCTAGTCTATAGTCTAGTCTATAGTCTAGTCTATAGTCTAGTCTATAGTCTAGTCTATAGTCTAGTCTATAGTCTAGTCTATAGTCTAGTCTATAGTCTAGTGTATAGTCTAGTCTATAGTCTAGTCTATAGTCTAGTCTATAGTCTAGTCTATAGTCTAGTCTATAGTCTAGTCTATAGTCTAGTCTATAGTCTAGTCTATAGTCTAGTCTATAGTCTAGTCTATAGTCTAGTCTATAGTCTAGTCTATAGTCTAGTCTATAGTCTAGTCTATAGTCTAGTCTATAGTCTAGTCTATAGTCTAGTCTATAGTCTAGTCTATAGTCTAGTCTATAGTCTAGTCTATAGTCTAGTCTATAGTCTAGTCTATAGTCTAGTCTATAGTCTAGTCTATAGTCTATAGTCTAGTCTATAGTCTATAGTCTAGTCTATAGTCTAGTCTATAGTCTAGTCTATAGTCTAGTCTATAGTCTAGTGTATAGTCTAGTCTATAGTCTAGTCTATAGTTTAGTGTATAGTCTAGTGTATAGTCTAGTCTATAGTCTAGTCTATAGTCTAGTCTATAGTCTAGTCTATAGTCTAGTCTATAGTCTAGTCTATAGTCTAGTCTATAGTCTAGTCTATAGTCTATAGTCTAGTCTATGGTCTAGTCTATAGTCTAGTCTATAGTCTAGTCTATAGTCTAGTCTAGTCTATAGTCTAGTCTATAGTCTAGTCTATAGTCTAGTCTATAGTCTAGTTTATAGTCTAGTCTATAGTCTAGTCTATAGTCGTCTATAGTCTAGTCTATAGTCTAGTCTTTAGTCTAGTCTATCTAGTCTATAGTCTAGTCTATAGTCTAGTCTAGTCTATAGTCTAGTCTATAGTCTAGTCTATAGTCTAGTCTATAGTCTAGTCTATTCTATAGTCTAGTCTATAGTCTAGTCTAGTCTAGTCTATAGTCTATAGTCTAGTCTATAGTTAGTCTATAGTAGTCTAGTCTAGTCTATCCCAGACTTTCCTTTTTTCTATTAAAAATTTTAACAGCTTTTCAACTCAATAATAACGTAAATTATGAAGATTTTTCTTAAATTTAGTATAAAAATCTAAAATTGTAGCTCTACCCAAAAAAAAAGTCTTATTAAATTGATTTATTACTCATAAAAAAAAACAAAACAAAATAAGAAATGTCACAATGTCAAGTATCAATAAAATATAACTACAAACACCTTTAAATGTCAATAATAACACCCAATACAAAAATACCTCTTCCTTATGTCGTAGGTAGCAAACAAGGAGGTTTCAAACTAGAGGAATTTTAAAATAAATTACTTTTAACGAATATTTTAAAGATTTTTATAATGATATCTTTTAAATTATTTGAAATTACTTTTAAGAAAGCCAATATAAATCACATATCCTGGAAAATGTGAAAAATATATTAATCATAATGTCAATTCTATTATGCCTTATATAGGGTTTATTATGTCTTCTCATTTTCCCCTTCGAGAGTAATCATAAATGTATGAGAATGATATACACTTATAATAAACAACATTCTTTTTAATTTGTTGTCTTTAGTTTACAAGTATGATGACACTGACAATGGCAATAACCGTAAACACTTATTTGTTATTTGACATACGTTATATTGAATAAATAGTTATTGTATGTATGAAGATGTGCTTTATATATTGTAGTTTTTCATATGGTTTTATACATACTTATAGTTTTCCAGTAATGATAATATTTAATTGAATTTTTCTTACGTCATATTAGAATAATAAATAAATACTATTTTAAAATATTTTAAACTAGACAGTATGTAAGGTAAGAAGAGTTAAGTTGTAACCATAAATCAATAAATTTAAACAAAATATTAATATAAATGTTTATAAAAAGTTTTCACATGAAATTCCTCTTATAATTTAATTTAACTTGCAACAAACACAAACATTCTCATAGTTATAGATTAGATTTTAAATTAGAAATTTTAATATACCTACACTAGTTACCTCTGAAGCTACAGGTATACATTTAAGTATATTGAAACATACTTTAAAACATTATTAATTACGGTACAATGAAATAAAATTAAGTTTGTATTTTATCATTAACACTATTCCAGTTGCTAGAAATGCAGGGTGCCTAGTCACATGCAAGTATGTATGTAATTAGTTTGTAATAGTCAATAATACAATACGTGTTATTTATAAGTAATTGAATGTTAATATATTTTAATTAAAAATGCATATAAATAATTATGATGCACAGATAAGCTAAAACAATCTACTTTCAAAATCATTACAATTCTCTCGAGGTTTATTAAGTAATTAATTTAATAATTACTTAATTTAATTCTAGTCTTTTTTCTAACCATCAAAAAAAACTTTAGTCAAATTTTACCTCCTTAGGTCTTGTTCAATATGCCCTATTCAATCTGACGGACAAATATTGCTTAGGTTTTGAGCAAGGACAATGGCTAAAAGACAACAACAAATTATACACAGTACGAATATTTGTAAAAAAATTATTTTTAAATCAAACTCGAACATTTTAAAAACGAAATTTCTTTTTAATTGGAAATGAAATGGCTAAGAAGTAACCAATTAATGGACCATTATTTTTGCAAAAAGACATTCATATTCTGTTCACCGCAGTATTGAACATGAAAGACGATGGGACGATAAAAAATCGAATCTCTTTTCTTTTATCCTTTTTCTTTTATCCTTCATTAAGTGCGAAAGGAGTTTACGATTCTTGCTCATTAGATATATGGATTGTTAAATATATATATATATTTTTTTAATATTTCAAAACAGATTTTTCAAAGTGTATGACCATCTAAAAGAAAAGTGGACTCACAAATACAATTAAAACGATGGAAATTTAATATGGCAAAAACAATTAAAGTGCGTATATTTTTGATACGTAACTTATATAAATATATTTTGGGTCTAATGGAATGAAGTCAATTAAATAATACACCGAGAGATTTATGCCTTATTAGATTAGAAATTATTATAAATATAAATAAAAATAACATTTGAATCAACAGACATACAATGATATAGAAATAAAAGAGAGGGAAATAATTCTATAACTTCTAAATGATCTGTCCGATTCACATGTGCAAAGAGAAAGTCTTGCCGAGTCGAGAATTTGCATTAAGACCTCGTGGGCTCAACAGGGGTGCAGTCAGTTTATACTTTTTGAAAAGCTAACTTAACACGAAATCTTTTGTATGAAAACACATTAGAAAATGTTTGATACCAAGGGGACTAGGTGCATCCTAAAAATGCCAATTTTTGTATGTAAAAATAAACTTTATAGCAAAGATGAAAAACAAAGGACGATTATATCCAATTAACTCAAATATCATTAAAAAAATTTCTTTATAGCATTAGATTAGAGCTTTTTCAAAAACTCATTAATACAATAATTTTTTTAAGTGTAAGTTTGTTCACTTTACTGTTTTGCAATTAAATAATTGTTAGAATTGTTGCAGATAATTGGTGGTAAACATAAACAAAACAGTACAAAAAACAAAACCATAATAAGCAGGGATGCGATTTTGAATTAAAAACTAAACAACTAAATACTCGGGTAGTTTAGAGGATAGTGTTCTAGTCTAGAGGTTCGATTTCCACCATGAGGCACTTATTAAGGAGCGCACAACAGGCTTGATAGAGGCCTATGTGTTTATTCGGATTTGATGTATATACATACTTACCTCCTCCTTTCAAACTAACTAACTAAATAAATACAAGTACTAGGGATTCACAAATATTAAAATAGATCCACAACTAGGGAATGGTTCTGATACTAGTTCTTTAAGCAATGATTTGGATTGAGAATGTCAACCTCGAAACAAAAGCATTAAAAACAAAATCTCCTTTTATTAAAACAGTTCTATAACAAGTTCGTTTTCCAAGGATTTTAGTTGGAAATTTTCACGTGAAAATATAATATAGAAAATATTTAGGGCAAATCGCTGCCCTGATAATAAGTATCAACAATGAAAACAATAACGCCTGCGCTTTATGCCACACCGTTCGCTGGTCTATACACAGACATGACAATATTTAACTAGTTGTCTACGACAAACAATTTATTTACTTTACATAAATAGTAAAGGGGTGTCATGTTTAATCGACACCCTTTACATCAAACGTAACGTACATACGTATACATATCACAGGGACCTTATTGCAAATACAATTAATTTTCATTCATTTCTACATTTAATCCCCATACTCACGACAACGAACAGTAATAACAATAAAAAACCACTATATCTAAGTTACCTACATACAGAAGTATATGTATGTCCTGCAATACATACTCTACAAGTTACATACATAATGTCAATTAATAGCTATAAATTACCACAAATACATACAATGAAATACTACTTAACAAAGTAAAACATTTTAACACAAACGACATTTGATAGAGTTGAACATATAACAAGGATTCAGTTATCAACAAGTGGCCTTCTAAAACGGACGTTAAATATTAATAATTGTTAATTTCCGGTAAAAAGTAAAAGTGTTTATTTGCAATGGGTTTTAAAATCTGGGAACGTTTTTCACAAGCCGACAATATATTTCAATCGTTACGACCACTAACCTACATTTCCATAATTGGTTTGGCTCCCTTCCACTTGAAATCCCAAAAGGAAGTTCGCACTTCGGCCTTGTCCTTTGTCGCCGGCATTGCCCATTTCCTGTTCTTTCTTTTGTGTTTTTTTCTATCGCGTCGTGAGGGTGGTTCCATTATTGGTTATTTCTTTCAAACGAACATAACGAAATTGGGTGATGCTACCCTCTCGTTAACCGGTATTATTGCGATGTTGACAATATTCGGTTTTGCCATAGTGAAACGGGATAAATTGATAAATATTATACAGAATAATCTGGTGGTCGATGAGATCTTTGTGCGGTTGGGCATGAAATTGAATTATCGCAAGATTCTATGGTATTCCTTTGTTATATCCTTTGGTATGCTGTTATTCAACGTTATTTATTTGTGTGTCAGTTATATGCTGTTGCGATCGGCTCAGATAACACCTTCGTTTGTGGTCTTTACAACATTTGCTCTGCCGCATATTAACATCAGTATTATGGTATTTAAGTTTTTGTGTACGACGCATTTGGCGAAGAGTCGATTTCATATGATGAATGAGGTGAATACAAGGGAAAAAGAGAATGACCAAGAAAGTGTTTAAGATAAATATTTTTCGATGAATTAATAGAAATTTAAGTTTTTCCTGAAGATTTGAAAAGTTTACTGATGATTTTTAATAAAAATCGAAATTTTAGTTAAAGTTGATATATTAGAGATATTCGAATTTTTAGTGAAAAATTATATTTTTAGTGAAACATTGAATTATTACGCAAATATAGATTTAATAGGCAAAAAACGAGTTTTTAGTAAACAATCGAATTTTTAGTAAAAAATCGAAATTTAAGTAAAAATCTAATTATATGTGAAAAATTTAATTATTAGTCAAAAACGATTTTTTAGTAAAAAATCACATTTGTAATGAATATTGCTTTTTAGTGAAAATCTAGTTTTTCGAGAAAAATTAGATTTTTAAGAGAAATATCAGATTTTTAGTGAAATATCTCATTTTTAAAGAAATATTGGATATTTAGTGAAAATATCGTAATAATAGATGGAATTTAGAACGGAAGTCAAGTATCAAAAAAATGGGATTATCGGCCAAAAATTTCAATGTTTTAGGCATTTTAGATTTCGAAATGGTACTAAATTTTGGTAAAAATAGTACTTTATAGTAATAGAAGTACTGCATATCATAGTCTTTTGAGTAGTCTTTGAACTAGTCTATTGACAGGTCTATGGACACGACTATTGACTAGTCTGTGGACAACTACATGGACTAGTATATTGACTAGTTTATTTACTAATATATGGACTAGTTTGTTGACTACCCTATGGATTAGTCTGTTGACTAATACTAGTCTATAGAATTGTATGTGGATTAGTCAGTTGACTAGTCTATGTACTAATCTGTTGACTAGTATATGAATTGACATCTTGACTAGTCAATTTCCAGTTTGTGTACTAGCCTGTTAAAAAGTCTATTGACTAATCTATGGATTAGTCTATAGACTTACCTATTAAACAGTTTATTGACTTGTATATTGATTAGACTATTGACTAGTTTGTTGGTTAGTCAATGGACTATTCTATGGACCAGCCTAGTTTGTATGATCTATAAACTAGCCTATTTTTATTGGCTAAACTGTAAACTAGCCTATTGACTAGTATACTTTTTTCGATATTTGGTATTATTCGATATCAAAAGTGCTGAAAAAGTCCACTGAATTTTCCATAACTGATATATATGTGTTAATTGAAATGCGGAGTTTAGAAAACCTAACCTTTTTGGTCATTCACTTAATAAACTACATATTTTTTACAACACTTCTTTTTTTTAATCCACTTCAAATTTCAGATTCTTCAAGATATTTTAGATTCGCACATTGAAGACAGTAATGCCATGGAACTTTCACCACTACATTCAATAGTACGCATTAATCGTAGTGTACCTAGAAGACGTCCTGCTAACATCTCAATGACGGCCAGTAAACGTTATAGTGTTACCTCTATCATACGACAAAATCCTGAATTTTCCCTTAAACAAGTGACGAATATACACAATCTTCTGTGTGATATTTGCAATACCATAGAGGAATACTTTACATATCCCCTACTGGCCATAATAGCCATATCATTTCTCTTCATACTATTCGATGATTTCTATATACTAGAAGTAATGCTTAATCCAAATTGTGTAGAAGTTTTCGAAGCTGATGAATTTTTCGCCTTTTTCTTTGCCCAAATGTTATGGTATGTCATAATAATATTTTTAATTGTCGAGGGCAGCAGTAAGACTATTAAAGAAAGTGCCAAATGTGCTGCCATTGTTCATAAGACCCTCAACATAACGGATGATCCGGAGATACGAGATCGTTTGTTGCGTTTATCTTTGCAATTACAACATCGTCGTGTTAGATTTACCGCAGCTGAACTATTTAATTTAGATCGTACTTTAATATTTACGGTAAGTTTATGGAGTCAACATTTGACATACATACATAATAAGTTTAAATGATTGTTCTTTTTATTCCAGATTACTGGTGCTGCTACTTGTTATTTGATTATACTGGTACAATTTCGTACCACACATCACTTGGACACCAATCAAAATAATACAAATTGTGTTTCGTAAATTTTGGGTTTGGTTTTTTATTGTAAATTGTGTGCCAATCAAAAATTGTTAAATCAATATAAAAATTTAATAAATGTGCCTTTTTGTTTAATGGAAATGATCACTGATTTACAAATTTAATAAAATTTCAGGTTTTAAAATAAAATGTTAATTACTCACAAGAAAAATATTCAAACACTAGATTTCTTTTAGAAAAAAATTAATTTTGCTGTAAAAAAAACAAATTTCGAATGTCTATAGTTTAGTTTATAGTCTGGCCTATAGTCTAGTAAAAAATTAATTTAAAGTACCTTAAAAGTACTATTTTCGTTTTAAGTTTCAAATCTTCAATTTTCCATTCCTGGTTTACATACATACATATACTTACCTTTGTTTATGTTGTTGTTGTAGTTGTCTCCTTATTTCACAGCTGAAACACAATAATTTTCTCACATTTTGCTTACAAACAATTTCTTTTTTAAATAATTTTAATAATGTAATAACAACAACATATTAATAATTAGGTAATACATACCCCCTCTTACGCTCCCGCTCATCAACACTCACTTTCATGTTTGGCTGCTTACGAATGGCCCTGGAAACCAAGAAACAACAATTGCCTTAAATTTGGCAAATAGCACATTTTTATTAAATTTTCTAACACTTTTTTCACTAATTTTCAAATGGGTTTTTCATAATATTTTTATATACCGATATAAAGATTTGTTTAAAATTATACAACAAAAACAATTAATTAACGTTTTAGCTTAATTTAAACAGGACCATTTGTCCCAAACAACCGAACACTTTAGAAATGTTAAGAAAAAAAATATTCATAAAATAAGAGAAATAAAGAAAATGTATTATTATAAAGTCGCTTTTACTACATAAAATAGTGTAAAATTAGATAAATTTCCAGTTTCCCTATTGCTATAGCAAAACTGGAAATTTTACTAATTTTATGCTATAAAAAAGTGACTTAAAACTGAAACGAAATCGACTCACTAAGTAAGTATTAAACAGGAGGAACAGTTTCTTACCAACGCGGTCACTTTTCTTCCTTTCAAATTGTGCAATATTAGATGTTTTTTTAGATATTTTTACCTACACATTGTTACGTTATGGATACTATTTAGATAGCAATTGTTTGTAGGGTTGTTGCTTTAGTTATTTGTCTTCTTCTTTGGTTGCTAAAAATTTCTAAAGTATTCGGTTATTTAGTGTTTTTTAATACTGTTTAAATAAATCTAAAGCGTTAATTAATTGTTAATATTTAAATATTTTTGTTTAAAAGTGTTAAATTATTAGTTTAAAAAATTGTTTTAAAATTTGTCAAAAATTCAATACAATTTTATTAGGCCGAGCGGTGGTTTGCTTTTTTCAGGTCATTCGTGTTGTTAAGTGATAAGAAAGCGTTAATCAGAGGGTTTGGAAATAAAAAATATTTTTGAAAAAAATTTAAAGATCCCTATGCCCCCATTCAGATTTTTGTTTATGTTGTCGTTAACATTATAACTTAATTTGACTAGTATGTATGTACATGTTTAAAGTAAAAATAAAGTAATTTTTTATAGTTACATGTGTATTTCAAGCTATACTACCATTCTGCATTAAAATCTCAATTTCTATCAAAAATGGACTTGTAACGTTTGCGTACTAAGCTAACACGATATGGATTAATATTTTTCCTAATGTTGAAAATTTTTTTTAATCCTTTACAAAAATAATTAAAAAAAACTGACTAAAGCCATTTTGTATTAGATTTGAATTATACAAAATTTGAATCATTAATTCCTATATGAATGCATTTTTAAAGGAATAAATTCAATATTATTTAAAAAAGTTAAAAATGGCGCAATTTAAAAAAAAAATAAATTCTCTCGAAAAGACAGCAGGAGAGCAGGATGCTGTGCACAGAAATTTCGTGAAGCTGTTCACAGCAATATCATTTCTTTTATATGTGCTGCGCCAAATTAAAGAGGCCCTAGGGACACGCAGCAGCCTAGGTCCCATAAGAAATACACGTGTTTGTGTGAGGTGCACAGCCAAATCTGCTTATTCGCAGTAACTCTCATAGCAACTTGAAAGATGAGGTGACAGCGACTGACAATTTCTGAAAATATTTCTTTGTGGTTTCAATAAATGTCATATTTTTTTCATATGTGATTTGACATTCTGGAAACTCAATGACATCTGCATGCTATACTCCGCTTATAATTTATGTTTTTGACGATATTATATTAAATCCGCCATCTATGTTTTATTAAAAAATTAAATGTGCGCTTATCAAAGACACTTTTCCTATTTTTTTAATTTTACACTGACTAACAAAAACAGCTCCGCTTCCGTTTAAAAAGTTTTATCATCCACTGTCTTATCAAGACAGTATAACCACTGCAGTGAAATTAATAAAAATTTATGCTGTGATAATGCAGTAAAACAGCTGACGTTAAAAATCTAAACAAGTAAAAAAAACAACTCCGCTTCCGTTAAAAAAGTGTTCCCATTAAGACAGCATAACCACTGCAGTGACACCAAAATGTAATACTGTGATAATGCAGTGCTTTTAAGACAAAACAATTGATAATCAAAAATGACATTTTTAGCTAGGAGTGGCAACTCCATAATAAAACAGTTGACGCCTAAAATAACATTTTCATCTGAGAGTGGCAACTCCGCAACAAAACAGCTGAGGTTTTTTGCTGAGCCCAGAAAAATTTGTTTTTTTTTATATGAACTCAGCAGCGTACTTAGTGGTGGGGTATCTCAGCAAAATGTTTGCCATTAGGAATATACGTGTTTGTGTGTATAACTCAGCAATATTTGCTGAGCTCAGCAAAAATTGCCGGGCACAGCAATTAACTTTCAAAATGTCCAAAACAGCTGATGCACGAAGAAATCAAAACAAAAAATTCCAGACGAAAAAAAGAAGAAGATTGTATACACACGCCGCTTTTTTTATTTGATTTAAATGAAAAAAATTCAAAATTTTCTATATTCATGGAACAAACAACCAATAGAAGGTGAATCAAAACAAACGTATACATTTTTCTTCCCTTTAATTACATTGTTCATTAATATTTCAGAGACTGGCGCAAACTGGTGAAAAAATTGCAAAGAAAACGCCGAAGACAGAAGTTTGCCCAACAAAGGGATAAGGAATTGGAGGAAGGTGAGTCTAAAAGAAAGTACAGTGATTTCAAAAATACTTAACAAACTTACCCTTAACTTAAAGCTGAATTGGAAAAGCTAAAAGATCCCTTGTACAAAACAAAGATGGAACAACAAGAGCAACTTGAACAGCAACAACAGATGGCAGAAGATAATGAACATCAACTACAGGAGGAGCTATGGCTGCGTAGGGAACTGTTGGCACAACAGCAATTTAAAAGAGATGAATTAAAAAGACAGGAGGAGGAGGCAAAATTAGTAGCTGAACTTATTAAAAAGGAGGAGGAATTAAAGCGGCAAGAAGAAGTGCGTAGGAAAAAACGGGAAGAGCTAAATTTACGTGCCGAAAAAGAGGCCAAAGAATTTGAAGAACTCATGGTTTGTATGCAAGAATATTTGGAGGATAGCAGCATGAAAACTCCTGAACGACTGGACCGTTGTATGGAAACGAAACCTGGAGAGAAACCATGTGAATTTTTCCTAAAAACTAATTCTTGCCGTTTTGGCTCCGTCTGTACGTTTAATCATAAAAGACCTTTGCTGGCCAAAACCATTTTAATTAGACATTTCTTTCAACATCCATTGCTGGAGCAACAAAAACATGAAGAATACTCTAGGTCTGATAGTGAATTAGAATTAAGTGAACGGGATTTGCGTGATGCATATGACGAATTCTGTGGAGATGTTTGGCCCGTATTAGAAGACTTTGGTACCATCATCAACTTTCGAGCAGTACGTAATGTGCAAAGTCATTTCAGAGGCAATGTTTTTGTAGAATATGCCGACAAAAGGTAAATTTTAGAAGACAATAACTAACTATGAGTTCATAATATATATAATAATTTGTCGTAGATCTGCTTTAAAAGCCTTCATGAATCTTCATAATCGTTATTATGCTTCGAAACGTTTAAATGTTGAGTTTTCAAATATACGTGCCTGGCGTACTGGAGTCTGTGGTATGCGTTCCGTATCCTTTTTTAAACAAAGTTCTAACTACGTGATATACTACTGTAATCTGTTAATGTGTTTAATTTTTAACTATTTTATTTTTCCTTGACTTTTATTTTATGAATATTATGTAAAGGTTTATCGTTAGGCCGAAAATGTCCCAAGGGTGTGGAATGTAACTTTTTCCATTTCATGAAAAATAAGGACAATAAATACAACAAGCATATTTTAACACGGGAACCAAAAACTCCAAGCGTGGCCCAAAGTTCAACAAGAAGACAAGAAACACCGCTCATAAGGTAAGTATTTTCCAAAGATAAGTCAAGTTAAATCTTAATAATTTATTTGTCTAAGTAGCAGTGGCTGGAGTACCGTACATTCTGGTAAAAGTCAAAAAACATACTCACGCAATTGGCGTTGGTCTGAAAGTCCAGAAATTGAACTTAAATCCAAAACTAATTTACCTACAAATTCAGATGCAACAAATGAACGCTCATCTAGTTCTAAAGGAAATCACTCATCCCACAAAAATTCCAGATCTAAAAGTCCAAATTCATATTCATCACACAAAAAATCAAGATCTAAAAGTCCAGATACTCATTATAACAGAAATTCTCAAAGATCTGCAGCTGTTAGTGCAAATTCAAATCGGGAAGTAGAATCTCGAAAATCACGATCTCGTAGTCCACATTACGAACGTCGTAAAATGGAAAAGAAGAAAACAAGAGATAAAAGTCCCCACAAGTCAAGACATAAACATCATAAATCCAGATCTCCCTCTGATAACTATAAAACAAAATCTAAGCGATATAATTAAGCCAAAAGGTAAGAATTTTTCTTTTTTTCTATTTATACATAAGGGAATGTTTTTATAATGGTAGAAATTGATAATCAGGGAGTTCTAAACTTTTTGAAAATGATAACAACTTAAGAATGAGTACTTGAAACCAAAAAATATTTTTATACTATATTTTTGTAATTAACAACAACTTAATAAGAATATTGTCGTTTTAACGGTGAATTTTATATAGAACCTATTGTGAATAATGCTTCCAAGTATTACATAAACATTTATGTATTAATATCCCTTTATTTTACGTGTGTTTAGTGAAATTACTGTTGGTGAACTTATCCATCTTTAAACAAAAAAAAATAGACAATCCGTTTTTGCACTCAATAAATATGCAAAGTCTAAGAGTTCCTTTAAAGCAAATTGGTACTCCAATAAGCTCCAATAAAATATTGAAGATATTGAAGAAGATGCTAAAATGTTATATTTACTGTTTGGTGTTGAATGCCATTATCTCAAACAAGAAAATTAGGATAAATTTTACTCGATCCCAAATGCGCTTCTGTTATTTAAATTACAGAATAGTCTATAAATACGATAGACGGAAATAGAGTGCCAAACAATAATTATAAACATTGAAGAAAAAACTGCAATTGAAAAATATTCTGTGGTTTTTCTAGTGGGATCGATTTGTATTGAGGTTATTGAGTAATAATTCTACTCTTCCACTTCAGTGTGATTGCCCGGTTAAAATATAAATTCAAAAATCCGATTAATTTTATGGAATTATTAGTTTTGTTTTAATCTATTACACCTTAAGTAAAGAATTTAAATAAAAACACATTATAGTTTTTTTTTTAATAATTTTATTAATTTTTTTGTAGATTTTTAAATTTTTTTTTTTTCAATTTCAAACAGTTACAATAAAAAGTAAAAAAGACAATATTTTCTTTTGGAGAAAAATAACTAAATCTGTATGAAAAATATAGAATTATCGTTTTGTTTCATCTATAGAGTATTGAACTAATAAATATTTTACAACAAATAAAAAAGTTTAGCTTGCATATAATAATACAATTATGTAAAACATCGAGCCTTCGTTTTAACTCATATTTTTTCTATAAAGTGGCAGTTGAATCGAAAAAGTAAATGTATTTGGGGAATTTTGCAAACAAATAGAAAAAATAGTGAGATTAGTGTATGAAATAGTAAAAAAAAATTTTGTGTTTTTTCTTTGTTTTATAAATTCTAAAGTCTATTTTGTTTTCTTTATAAAATAAAAAAATAAAAACAAAAAATAAAATAAAAATAAACTTCTCCTCCTGTAAAACGTAATAAATTTAAAGACGAATACCAGGGTTGGTAGCAGCAACATAACGTAACAATTCATCGTTATCTTCACAGATGAAAGGTTTTTCGTGATAACAGGCAACATCATGCCAGGCAATACCGTCATTGTAGACGTTGTTCAAGACAGACAAACATTGTTCCTTGGTTTGGTTGATGTCGTATTCAGCGTTATCGGGTTGAGGACGCTTCTTGTGGCCGGTTTGAGACCAAGGATTGTAGCCCCAGCCTTGAGGAATGCGGTTGGTGGCTTGGATCTTCTCGCGAGTGGCAGACCAGAACCAACCATAAATGTTTTTGGGTTCCAAATCGGGACGGTTTTCACAACCATTGAAATCGCAGATACGACCAGCAGTCCAGATATAAGGAACATCGTTTTGTTGGATAACACGGAAGATTAGATTGTTCTTTTCTTGGGTTTCCAAGGCAACCAAGTCCATACAGTATTCACGACACAAGTTACGACCATCTAACCAATCGACTTTCTTGTTAGCCAAAGCGGGAACATGAGAACTCAAGAACATGTTCTTGCCACGGTAAGAGAATTCCTTGGGACCTGCAAAGAGGAAAAGCAAAAAAAAGAAACATAATTAGTTTTCTATTTGTCTATCAGTTTGAAGTTTTTTAGTGATTATTTGCCAAATTAATTTTCATTCATGACTTAACAATTTTATTTAGCCTTAAGTTTTAAGATTATTAAATTGTGGAATCTTTGGAAATTGCTTTGAACTAAAGACAAACAAAAAATAACTCCAATCATTATCGAAGACAACTTGCGCAACATCATTATCAACCACATCATGATTTCTAATAGCTTTCAACAGAGCCATCAGCAAATATAATGAAACTTTTCATCATGAGGTTTTAGTTACTGTTGCGATACAGTATTTTTGTTAGTTGCTTGGTTTTTATTTTTTAAGTGTAGGGTTTTCAAAGGTCGTTTTTTATTTGCTTTTAGTGTTGCTTTAATTATTGTTGATTTTTGCACTTCCATCATACATTATTTTTTGTTAGTAACTGACGGATACTTTAAACCTTAAAAATAAAGACAACAAAACTTTTCCGTTTAAATTTACACAGTTTGCAAAAAAATAAATATTTGTAGTATTTTTTTTTGTTTTTTCATATGCATGTAATAATTTTAGTTTTTTTTTGTCTAAGTATTACACTGCCACAAACTCGTTTTTACAGTTGGTTAGCAGCTTCCATTTCATTAAATCATGGGATGCTATAACCAAGACTTGATACTTTTTTTATCAACGTATTCGTAAGCATAATACAAAATGTAGAAATATTTGTTGTTTTTTCTTCTTCATTGCATTTTGTATACATTATATGCTTTTTTGCTGTTGTTGCATGTACAATTGCAGCAACAGCAAAAACAACAATATGTTGCAAATGTAATAAGCAACCTCAACCTATAGACATTGTTTGGAGATAAAAATGAGTTTTACTATTACAAACGACACCCTCCTCTTTTGGTGTATTATTTTTTTAAGCTTTTAAATGCTTTGTTGCGGTTGTGGTCGTCATGGCTTGAGGAGAACAATGATGAGTAATTTGCAATGTTGACGTTAAACTGTTAACATCAAAAAGATTTAGGAATTTTTTAAAGAAATTTCTTCTTAATTTGCCTTAATAAGGTCTAGTTATAGTTTTCTTTAGTAAAGCTTTTTCTAACGAGATATGAGTTTTTTTAATGAAATTTCTTTTTAAATTGGCTTATTAAGGTCTAGTTATAGTTTTCTTTGGGAAAGCTTTTTCTAACAAGATATTATATAAGAAGTATAACTTTAGAAGGAAAAGCTTTTTACAGGATTTTTTAAAGAAATTTTCTTTTAAATTGCCTTAATAAGGGCTAGTTATAGTTTTCTTTGGGAAAGCTTTTTCTAACGAGATATTATATAGGAAAGCTTTAGTAAAAAGAAAGTAAAGCAGAGCTTTAGACAGAAAAGGTTTTTTTTAAGCTATTTCAATATAAGAATGTTAAAGCTAGAATGGAATTTGTATATAAAAGTAGACATTGTTCAAGACAGACAAACATTGTTCCATGGTTTCGTTGTTGTCGTATTCAGCGTTATCGGGTTGAGAAGGCAGTTTGAGACTAGCCTGGAGGAATGCGGTTGGTGGCTTGAATCTTCTCGCGAGTGGCAGACCAGAACCAACCATAAAAGTTTTTGGGTTCCAAATCGGGACGGTTTTCACCACCATTGAAATCGCAGATACGACTAGTCCAGATATAAGGAACATCGTTGTGTTTGGGTAACACCGAAGATTAGATTGTTCTTTTCTGGGGTTTCCAAGGCAACCGACCAAGAAATTTGTATATAAAAGCTTAAATAGAGACCCATTTCTTTAAAGAAAAGCTTTAGCCAGCGAAAGATTTGTAGAGAAAGCAAATAAACTTGATCTTTTTTCATATTTGTAATAAAATCTTTAAGTTATATAACATTAAAAACAATTAATAACTTTCAATCTTATCTATCATTAATATTTCTCCCTTTTGGCATTAAAAAAAAAAAAAAAAAAAAAAACATTAATCAAGTAAATTACTGTCTCAAATGTTTGTGGCCTGTTGCAACAATTGTAAATGCCCTAATCATTATTATATTTTATACAGGTTTTCACATAAAAATGTGCAAATAGCACGCGTTTTAAACTGATGGAATGTTTGTTTGACTATTTGCCCGCCAGACAAGTTGATCTGTCAACATTATTAACAATCTATACATACATTTATCCCATTCAGCTATATGTTTGTTTATTTTTTTAACTTATTTGTTTTAAAATAAGCTCCAGTATAAAATACATATTTCATTCATAATGACTCTGGTAAACTCATAACATAATTATAATAGAGACAAGTATATTGTATAATGTATGTGTATTTTTTTTAATAAAAAACCATACTAGCTAAGTTACCTAGTAACCTGATTTTTATAACTTTAACACAAAAAAACCAGCTTTAAAATAATAAGAAATTATTAACTATTTTCTTTGTGCAAAAATAAGCTTAAACTTAATTTCAATTTAATTATTTTTTTTCACATTTAAAAGTAATTTTTGGAATTACTCTAAAGTTTAGAAGAAAAATATTAAAGCCATTGCACTTTGTTAACCCCTTTAACTTTAAATATACATTATTTATTTATTATAATATTTTTTCACTTAAATTCATTAGCATGATCTTGTGCTTATTTTGGGTCAAGGCAAGTGCATATGCATTTGGTTTTAGTACTTTGGGTATAAAATTGAAATTTGAAAAAAAAAATCACAAAAATTATACGAATCTAAGGAGGTTAAATGCTGCATACTACTAGAATACAGATGCTAGCTTATTTTGTGGGTTTTGTTTATTTGTGTGGCTTTAATATTAAAAAAAAAACAAACATTAAGCAACTTTAATTGCCTTAAAGATGAATTCGTAGAATTCATGTTAGAGTTTATTGTCTGCCACAAAAGTCTAAAGAGCCAAACTTGGTGAGAATCTTTTTTTCTTACTTTACCGGCAATGTAAAGTTCAACAATAAAAAAAAAATTTTGTTTGTCTTCGCAAATAAACAAAATAAAAAGTTATTATAGCCTAAGATTTATTATAAAGATTTTGAAATCTTAGATTTATGACTTGCTATATGATAATCGTGCATTTTATTGCTGGCATCCAAAAAAAAAAAAAAAGATAAAAACACAAAAAGTTTCTATATATTAAGGAAAATATTATTGTTATTTTTAGAAGAAATTCTAGAGGTTTCAACAACAATACAACATATTTGTATTATGCAAGGTTTTGTTTTACCATTATTAGTTTTTTTTGTTTAAAATTTGAAGTCTACGTTCTAATTTATTTAGACACACGCAACCTGTTTTATTTATAATAAATTTTGAACTTTTTTTTGACTGAATAAAATTTAATGAGAACAAATTTGCATAAATTTAGAATTGGATCAAA